TCAACTTCAATGTACAAAGGCATGTAGTCTTTGTTGCATTTATTTACTTTGTTGTCGTTTTTTGTTTTGTTTGTATGTTTGTTTTCCTCTCCGAGGACTTTCCATGTCTACCTCCACGTGATTTCCACTTAATGATTGTCTTGTCGCTGCTAATGATAAAACGGGTATTTTGCTTCCAAATCTTAGGGGTGAACATTACTTGCCCAGAGAATATCACCGTATCTGCAAATCTTAACAACTTCGCATATGTGTTTTGGAGTCCGCCCGTTCTTAGCTTCAGTGGCGTCGACCAAAGTGTCACCGTCATTAGCGATCATGATCAGGGACAACGCTTCGACATTGGGACCACACTTGTTACAAACAGAGTTCTAGAAACGGAGTCTCAGTGTCAGTTCTCTGTAACTGTTAAAGGTAAGAATGTTCAGAGTGTAGTGTATGCAGCCAGTTTAATGTATGGACAGCCAGTCTAATGTGTATTTCGGGATAATGGTGTAAGGCCTCGGGGCCTGTGCCGTTTGTGATGTGTGTAATATATGCCTCAGAAACGTTCAGCCAGAACTTCTCCATGTTCTCATTTATTGCTCCCAAATCTCCCAACATACAAACACAACACTGGCGAGGAGGATTTAAGGACTTAGTTCGACATTCGGTGATAAAGAAGGCCTCATAAGGATTGCTGGTGAGCGGTATTTCGAGACAAATTTCTGGCTGTCTCCACACGACACGTACGAACTCACTTACGTTCCGGGCAACTGTACGCCGCCATTTATCTTTCACGCACGTACGTACGATCGGGTAGTCGTAACATAGTTTACAGGCATGATAAATAATGGCGACTTTTCAGAGGACTGTGTTTGAGGGGTTCAACTCTAAGGGCGGCAATATAGACCTATATTTTGAAAAGGATTGAACAGTATTTCATTGCCGTAGATATAAATGATACTGAAGCATATAAACGTAGGGCAATTTTGTTGAGTAGCATCAGGAGCACAGTGTGTAAGACACTGAAAGACCTTGCCTTTACACAACAGCCAAAGGAAAAGACTTTCACAGAATTTTGGAGTCTGATGAAGGGACAGTGCAAGCCCAAAAGACTGGAATTTGGAGAACGATTCATATTTCATAATGCCAAGCACTTGCCAGGCCAATCCATTTGTGACTATGCTGCCCATTTGATGGGGTACTGTGATTTTCAAGGAGACCAACTTCAGGACAGTTTACGTGATAGACTTATATGTGGTCTGCAGTCAGAGAGCATCCAAAAGAAACTGTCGACACGCAACTACAGTTTCCAGCAGACACTCTGGCAGAGGAGGCGGCTTCAAAGAATATACGCCACATGCGCACCACAAAAAGTAAACCATTGAACAGAGTGTTTTCCTCACGCCTCATGGCGGAACCTAAAAGACAGAAGCCAAGACTTTTGCAGAGTAGGAAACCCTGTGGCCGTTGTGGATTGAGCAATCACAATTGCGATGAGTTCAGATACAAGGGGCAACATGCTACAAATACAAGAAGTTGGGACATTTGCAGACATAATGCAGGTCCAGGGCCAGATCAGACACTGCAACGCCAACTGTGAAACACGTCTCCCAACCAGGCACTAAACAAAAAGGGCGTGTTTGCTACGTAGAAGACACTGATCATGATCAAAACACGCTTGCCAGTGGCGTTTCGCATGACAATGGTGACTTTTCTCGGTTTCCTCACATGCGGACAAGCAGCTCCGAACCAAGTCTGAGGACACGCGAGCTGAGATGCACGCGCACAAACGTACCTCAACCATCAAGGTCCCTGTTTGGATAGCAAACATTCCAATACAAATGGAACTGGACACCAGTGTTACTGCAGGAGCCATGAGGACTATCACAGATTTTTGGGGGCACATTCCACTGCAACTGGTAATCGTGTCCTGCACGCGTACTTGGAACCCCGTTGAGAATTGCGGGCCAATAGATGGATTTCACATTAGCGCCGTCTGCGCATATCCGCATCGAAACCGAGGCTCTCTGTGTTGAACTTCGTCGCGCGCGCCAGCGGAGTCGACACAGTACATGCAGTATCCGGTTCGTGTGTGTGATACCACTTCAGTCTAAACCACGCCCACTGCACAAGAAACACGGTCATCGCAGGTACGTTATTTAGAAGTAAATTGCCATTGTTTTTTTCTTTTTCTGGACGAGAAATCCCAGGAGTACGTCACCATTAACACTCACAAGGGACAGTGTCGTTACACACGCTTGCCATTCGGTATCTCCACAAGTCCTGCAATCTGGCAACCATTTATTGAGCAAGTCCTGGCAGGTCTTGACGGCACATAATTATGCAATCATGGGTGATGTGCTGGTAACCGGCAAGAACCGGCACTAGGAACATCTCAGGAATGTAAGAAATGTCTTCCAAAGATTCAGGAAGTTTGGCTTACGTGTAAAAGCGTGCCAATTCATGCAGGAGAGTGTCATCTACTTGGGACGTTGTATCTCTTCAAAGGTGATTCGACCGACTGATGACAAGGCAGACGCCATACGCCAGGCTCCAACTCCGCAGAACGTAACGGAGCTTCGCCCATGGTTGGGGATGGTGAACTTTGAGGCACAATGTCTCCCCAATCTATCGACCTTGATCCTCCCACTGAATGAAAAGCTGGGAGGTCGGCCCTGGCAGTCGTCTGACAGGTGCTCCCTTGCATTTGATGCAGTGAAGGAAGCTGTCAGTTCAGATAAGCTCCTGGCACACTACGACCCAATGATACCACTTCAGCTAGCCACTGACTCGTCACCGTGTGGCGTCGGGGCAGTCATGCTTCACAATTATGCAGATGGTTCACGTCATCCAGTGGCCTACGCACCATATCTTACAGATCACATATTATATCACATCACTTATTATCACCATACGAACTGATCACAAGCCATTGAGCGCATTCTTGGTCCCAAGACTGCAATTCCAACTCTAGCTGCACAACGCCTACAACGATGGGCTGTAGTGCTGTCAGCATTCGACTACGACCTGAAATTTATCCAGACCTCACAGAATGTGTCCACCGATGCGCTTTCACGTCTTCCAATACCAGCTATGAAAGATGATGACGACGATTTCGCATTATACCAGGACAGAGCCAGTCCTGTCACGCGTGTTGAAGTATACCAGGAGGGGTTGGCCGGCTAAAGTGGAAGATGAACGACTTAAGTCTTTGTTCAGTCGTCGACATGAGCTGTCCACGGAATAAGACTGTCTGCTGTGGGGTATGAGAGTTGTGACAAACTGCGCATTGCTCACCCAGGTATGGTCAGAATGAAAGAGATAGCAAGAAGCTATATCTGGTGGCCAAATATTGATGGACACATTGAAAAGACTGTTTGATTCTGTACATGCCGACTGTCATCGGTCAAGGCACCTTCCACCGGTTGCACCTTTTAATGCCCTGGGTGTGGCCCAGTTCTTCTTGGCACAGAATTCACGTTGACTTCACACAAAAAAATGGGCAGGACGTTTTGATAGTGGTGGATGCATACACGAAATGGCCAGAAATCTTCCACATGACTGGCACAACATCACAAGCTACAATAACAGTACTGCGTGACAGCAGGTATGGTATTCCGTTCCAGCTAGTCAGTGATAATCGACCACAGTTTATCAGTGAGGAATTCCAGCATTTCCTAAGGTGAATGGTGTCAAGCACGTTCGAGTTGCACCTTACCATGCAGCGAGCACTGGTGCAGCCGGGCGCATGGTACAGTCATTGAAACATGCTCTCAGTGCAACTAAGTCGAGTGGACGGAGTTTGCAGCAACGCATTGACAGTTTCCTGTTGACCTACTGCACCATCAAACACACGACAGGTCCCACCCCTGCAAGTTTGTTCCTGGGACGCGAAGTGCGTACTCGCTTGTCCTTGCTACGCCCAGAGACAGAGAGGAACCAATATGTAAAGCAGCCAAAAGTTACAGCATGACAAACAAGCACAGCTTCGTGAGTTTTATGGAGGGGAGGAGGTTTTGGTGAAAGATTTTCGCCAGAAGGAGACTTGGTGGACAGCAACGGTTGCTGAGCGAACAGCACCAAAATCAAATGTCGTAATTCTGCAAGATGGCATAGAGTGGAAACGGCACGTAGACAAATGAGGAGATCAGAACTGTCTCCAAATCATCGTGATACACACCCAGTTCTTCCAGAGAAGAATCCAGATCCAGGGTTTGACCCAGGCGTAACCCTTCCCTCAGAGCCTACTCCGGAAGGGGGCACACAATCTTCCCTGTTGGAGAAGCATCAGACATAGGAATCTCCCATGGTCAAAGAAAGTCAGGCGAAATCAGCTTTGACCACAGTCTCAAAGGACTCTCCTAAACCTTTGCGTCGCTCATCAAGAGTCAGCAAACTACCACAAACACTTATTGAGACTATGTAAAAGACTATGGCTGATTTAAGTCGAAAGCCATACTGTCGTTAATCTTAAAGTTCAATTATTAAGGAACATGCTGTTGTTTCCCCCCCCCCAAAAAAAAGCTATTAGAGGAGTCTTGTTTGAAAGGAACAAAAAAAGTATGGACAGTTTTTTTTTCACACATTGCAGTACATACAGTGACCGTAGGAAGACTTGTCACACTGTTTCAGAAAAAGTTTTCTATTTGGAATATTGTATGTTATTGCACACCACATGGAAAACTGCGTGTTGTATGGTTAAGGAGGAACAGCTTTGTAGCTTGTTGCATTTTTTATAGTTGTAACTTGTATTGCAAACAATGTTCCTGTTTGTGCGTGTTACATGATGTACAATTAAGCCCCATACACCATCGTCGTCCTTTCTGTCGGGCGAAGCCCGGGGCGGAAAACTTAATTAGCTGCCATGATGTGACTTTCCGTTCGCTTCGGACAGTCGACCAGCCGGCTGGCCAGCCGAGGCATGTACATGTACATGTACCATACACTCGTTATCGAACACGACTTTCAACCAGTACGTGCCGTGCAAGATTGTACCAGACTATTGAGCAACTTCATTGTGGCTGTCCAACGTGTATGCGCGTGCGTAAACGGAAAATGGGAAACACCTGCATTCGTAAGTAACGCATGCACAGTGAGTCCCCCCCATTTCCGACGGGGGGGGGAGATTTGATCAACTTCCCAAGACGTTGTTGCTGGCGTGGCTAGTTGTGGTTTGTGCTGTCCAGCTATTCGTTTTGTGAGGGAAGGGTTTCAAAAGTTCGCTTCTTGACCATTTGCTTGAAGTTCTTTTGTATAGGCATTTACCTAAACAAATGTATGGTAATTCAGGTTTGCTTCTTTTAGTGTAGCGTGAATTAGTCTTCTCTGCCAATTAAAGAATATTTGTTGGAAATGTCTACATGTAAATCATTATTACAAAAGTAAGGTTCCATATTTCATAACAGACACCAATCCGCCACGATTCTTCCCTGCTTGTCCGGCTTACATATTTCGTCTCGTCGACATCAGCATCCCGTCCGTATCTGTGTCATGGTCAGCCTTTAATGCATCAGATTCAAGCCCACCGTTGCTATGGAACTCCAGCCATCAACCTGGCGACGTTTTCCAAACTGGTGAGGATACCGTGGTAACATACGAGGTGACAGACCAAGAAGGAAATTCAGCATACTGTAACTTCACAGTAACAGTGACAGGTATATGTTTCATATGATAATCAGCTGGAAAAATGTTTTGAGCGTCGTTTAAAATCGATGTTTTGTCTTCTCTAACCTCTTGAAATTTACGGTAAAAATATCGCTTTGTTTCTGTGCAAATGTATCCCTAAACCTGAGCCTCCTATCTGAAAAGCGGTTAAGCCTCTGGGATTACTTGGATGCAGAGTTGATGTCTTTACCCTTCTGTTTATTGAGTGGTCAAATATGTTAATTTATGTATGTGCCCATTTTAATTTGATGTTGGCAATGTTACCTCGGATAATGCAGGTGTAGAGTTCCAATGTCCGGCCAATATCACAGTGGCCACAGACACGGGTATCAACACAACATCTGTTTCATGGATGCAACCCAAGGTGACATTCAACTCAATGAATGGACAAGCTTCAACCACAGAGAATGGGAGTGGCTTTTATGATGATGAGGACTATAACTACGATGGTGGTGATGGTAGCAGTGACAATCGTATCGACGGAAGCGATGTTTACCAACGAGACAACCGAGAGACAGGAGTTCGATTACAATCAGACCACCAGCCAGGAGACCTCTTCAGTATTGGAGCTACTCAGGTGATCTACCAAGTTCAAGAGACTGAGATAGAATGCCGGTTCCATGTCATCGTCGAGGGTAACAGTATTAACTTAATATAATTTGTTCCAGCATAAGGCCAGGCATAAGTGCTTCTGTTTAAAGAACTGAACAATTCACTATTCCATCCTACATTTAACAGAAATCCATCCAATCATATTTTGACACAGTGCCTAACAATATTATTATACTGAATGCGTGTCAACTGTCTTAGATGACGAACCTCCGAAGGTATCTGGCTGTCCAGATGACGTCATCATTCCTGTCACTTCATCCTCCCAGCTGGTGACCCACTCATGGATTCCTCCAATCCTTACTGACAACTCCGGCCAAGATGTCAGAGTGACATTCAACTGCTTACCAACCACTTTCAGTGAATGCAACCGAGCCGGGAACGGGTCCTTTTCTGTAGGAGATACCACGGTGAGATACACCGCCAGGGATATGTCTGGGAACAGGAATGTTTGCGCATTCACTGTTACAGTTACAGGTTTGTGTTTGTATTATCTACGCTTCTTTATCTTAGTCTTCAGTATTTTTTTCATGCAGTACAAGGATGGAAGTGAAAGACCTGTGTGATGGACAGGTGTTCATAGTTCGGTCCTCAGTCAATCAACGTTCGTTTTTTTCCCCAGTTGTGAATATTGTTTGCCCTGCGAATATCACCGCATTTGCAAGTGCCGGTTCAACAACAACCAGCGTAAGCTGGTCAGAACCGGTTGTGACTGGATGGAAGGGAGAAACCAACTTCACCTCAAACTACAGCCCTGGGATGACGTTACCGATAGGAACCTACCGTGTCAGCTATCAGCAGTGGTTTGCAGAAGATGATTTGCCCTTGGAGTGTTTTTTCTTTGTGGTCGTGGAAGGTGAGACCATATATTATGCAAGTTTAAAAAAATCCTTAGCGTCCTTCAACTTGTTTAAGCTGGCTTGTTTGGTTGTTTGGTTCTTTCGTGGTTGTCAGAGGATAACAATGCGTATACATTAGTAAATACTTTTAGTATGTTTCAACGGTTGCAGGTCAGTGTCCAGCCCACAACACCAGCGATGGATTGCGATGGCCGGCGGCAGTAGCCGGATCAGTGACCAAGTCTGTGAAGCGATGCGCACTGACGACGGCAAATGGTTTGATTATNAATCCGTAATTTTACTTGCCTCTCCACGGTACAGATGTTCTTGTTCAACTAGATATTGGTACTTTTCTCCACACCTTTTTCGTTACTCCATCCATCCCCTCGCTTTTTCTTCTTTATGATGGTGTTTTTGGCAAATGTATATATGAATGTATGAAACTGAACATTCTAGGAAGGGGAATTCAAAGCAGTTTGATGTGTTAATGTGTTCAGATTCAGTCTTTCTTTGAATGTCGACACCACGAGTTTAGACACCGTTGCCACTTTTATAACGATCATTGCTAGCACTGTTTGTCCTCAAATTGTACTTGTACAGTTAATTTGAAAATCGGTCAATCAGTTTTAGTCATTCATTTACCCGTAGAATGTTTACTTTTTCTATAAATCTCCCGTAAAGCTGGCCAGCCTGTTGCTGTAAGGAACTGTTTGAGGGAAAAAGCCCCCTTGTACTTTCGTTGGGAGGAGTACGCAAATCAAAGCTGTGGTGAAGTAGAGAAAGAAGTCACTCTTGAAAACGTTGTTGAGGTAACTTTTATGTTCAAATTTCTTAATTTTATCCCAGTTGCAACAAATTTCACAATTTTAACTCATGAAGATCTTATTTTTATTTATGAACTGTAGTGTCTTCCTGACAGGTGGAGGTTAGCAAGGCTAACGCAGTTGAAGTAGCTGGGTTTCTGGCCAGTCAGACGTCAAAATCATCTGAGGATGCACAAGATTTTGAAGCAGTCTCCAGCATTTTGGAGAATATCGCCGAAGCAGGATCAGGAAATGTAAAGGTACATGGTATCTATTCAATAGAGAGAACTTCAGCCTTTCAATTCTGTAGGATGATGTAAACTGTGACTTATTGGAAATCCTGATTTTTGTATCAGGTGGCCGAGCTTGTGCTTGATACTGTCAGCAATGTCATCCTGACTGTGGGGAGAACTACCGATACCGAGTCCCAACCCACCAAAATTGATGCCAAAAGCTCCTCCGCCATCGTCCAGTCCGTAGAGGCCCAAATCTCTTTGACTCTTCAGCAGGAGGGGCAGATCAGTATACGACAGGACTCCATCCACGTCGAGGCGGTCAGTCTGGATTCCACGCTGGCAACTGAAGGACTTAGTTTCGTGTCTGTGAAACAGTCCACTACACTGGATCCCAGACAGGGACCTCTTGCTCATACCGATGTCAAGACATTACATTCCACCGTGATACCGAAGGATCTTGATGTCTTAGCTTCAGCTCAATTACCTAGCAACATCATTGGCTTGTTACAATCGCCTAATGGTAAAGTATAAAAATCCCCCAGCTTTATTTATGGCCTAGGTTAAATGCAAATAACGGTGTACACTCTAGTCTTCCTTCAAAGCCGGTTGGTTTTTTCTTACCGTGTACAAGAAATAAATAGTCGAGAGAAGTAGAATTGTCACAGTTGAGTTCCTGGTCCTTGCTAGTGTTAAAGGCTGCAATAATTCCACTCTGTGACCCTTAATATATGTTTGATCGAGATCTTCAATACTGTAATTAGAGTTTTTGATATCACAAGCATTAATTAAATACCTTACGGCGCATATTACATATGTAAGGGGAAGGCTCATTTATTTTCTGGGGTCAATTCTTTCAAATGCAGCCAACAAAACCTCTGGCCAGCTCCAAGCAAGTTTTCTGATCTACGCAGATGACACCTTGTTCCAGTCTGCTTCACTCAGAAAGTACCGAGGAGAGAATAACTCGACTCGTAAGGTCGCTGGATCTGTCGTCTCACTGACTGTAGAAAATGTCGAACTTATCAATCTCACTGAGCCTCTCGTCATTGCATTTAAGGTGATTAGTGAAATAACTTACCAGTATAAATTAGTAATCAAAACGGAGGCCTTGGAGACATTTAGTGCATTTGTAACGGCGAAAAACGGTTTAGTAAGCGACTTTCGTTATAAAAACTAACCACTGCAGTTATGTCAAACACAGACCCAAAAATCCGAATTAAATGGCCTTAAAGAGTAAAATTAAGTCAAAGCAATACATGTACACTGTAAAAAACTTAACAGCTGCCAAAAGTTAACAGGTTAAAGTTATAAGATCCTTACGCTGCGTGTACGAAAATTGTGGTAAGAAAAGTCATTAACCTGGGGAAACTAACTTAGTTATAAAGGACTAAATAATAAAAGGAATTAAACTCCACATTATAACCATGATTAAAAGTGTTGATAATTTACCTTAAATAACATACATAAAAAAAGTGATGAGAAGTGATGAACTTACCAAAAGAGGATCAGACACTTGCAAGGATGAGTGTGTATTGAGGAGCAGGGCTATTGTGTGACCTGTCTCTGTGGTGTTGGTCTGCTGAATGAACTCCTCCTCATAGTTTATGTACACTACATGGGGAGTGGGGCTTCAAGACAGGGGAACCCTGCTAAAGTAAACACGGGCAAAGTTGTACTCTTCTAAAAGGATGG